TGAAAAACTGAATGTTTGAATAAAAGCTCAAGCAAACAAAAGTCAGACTCCATAAGTAGCTTGTGTGCTCTGTGCTGTGGCTTATATAACTCACAGTTCCCATTAAGGAGGGACCCCCCAACGTCCACTCTAACACTGTGGATGCAGCAGCTAGTTAACACAAGTCTGCTGATTGAGCAATCTTGCCGCACCTGATCCATGGTAAGACATGGGAAGGAATAGGATGGGAAAACTTTTGTGAGATGCTATTTTTAAAAAATTTTATCTTCAAGGATGTTGTAAATATGGTCGTCACAAAATTGATCGTGGTTTTAGTTGTATGAATCATGTGAAAGTCTGTGGGAGTCAGCTGAACAGACAGCCAAAAAACACAACACTCTTCTTGACATTTACCTCTAATAGAGAGTGTTTACATTCATAAAAGTAAAGTAAATCCAGAATCTTCGTCTAAAAATTTATCTTCACAAAAAAGCCATGTGCAGCCTTTGGTTTTCCTGCAGTCACTGGGACAGAATTCAGAAAATATGGACAACCTCCCCATTAAGACAGGCAACAGCTGGAATATCTTTCAGACTAGAGATTTTTTTTTCCTGCAAATCAAATATAGAATTTCATTGTGAGCTGAGTATATTCTGTCTTAAATGAATGTAAACTAAATTTTAAAGGGATGCTGTGTCTTTAATTAACAGCATTTATGGAAATATATCTTTAAAAAAACTAAAGTTCACCACAAAGATAAAAAGAGCAGACTGTTTTTAGCTTGGAGAATGTGGCTCCAGTGAATTTAAATATTTATCGTATAATTTTTATACCAAAGTCTTAATAAGCACTAACTTTTATGACATCACTTCTGGAAACAGTTTTAAAAAATTACTACATTTCAGAATGCTATTTCTAGTTTGATTTCCATCACAAGCTACCAGTTAAATAAAAGTGGATTTTATGAAAAATAATAGCACATTCCTTTCTGAACTTAAAATTTTGTACACTTGCCATCTAGGAGCAAATGGTACAGCCTGGAGTCAGAGATTTTACACTTTTTACAAGTTTCCTTAACAAGTTGCCACAGGAGCTCAAAGCCCCCAAGGCAGGTGTTCTTTTCTAATCCAAAGAATAAGAAATGTTTGAGAAATTCTCTTTCGTAAGTCTTCTGAGAACACATGAAGACAAATTGCTAAGCTTCCATTTCAAATGTGAGGGATTTGGATTGAGTTTAAACAACAGCTTGTGCAAAATGTCACCGCTCCTGTTGTCTTACGCAGAGATGGTGAGTGCTGATGTCATAGAAAGGATGACTTTGGGGGTTCTTTTTTTCCTTTTTTTTTCGGCCAATCCCGAGCACCGTAGCCTCGACCTACTGGGCTCCGCGATCCTTCCACCTCAGCCTTCCAAGTAGCTGGAACCACAGGTGTTCGCTACCACGTACGGCTAATTTTTTGATTTGTTGTAGAGATGAGGTCTCCCCAAGTTGCTCTGAACCCGCAAGCTCAGGCAATCCACTCACCTCGGGCTCCCAAAACACGGGATTACAGGCTGAGGCACTGAGCCCAGCCAACTTTGGGCGTTCTAAAGGGAGGGCTGTGCCAACCGCCAACCAACTGCAAAATTACCCTGTTGGCTAGAAGGAAGATCAGAAACTGTCTCCTGCATGTTCAAAGTGACACAGGGAATAAGACAATTACTCACATATGTCACACTAAATAGTAATATAAATACCTCCTGTACTGGTCTTAAACATCCAGCAAGTCAAATAAGGTTCTGCATTCAAATTTCTTGGGAAGTATCTCCATTTCTCATTTAATTTTGAATGTGTCCCATCCTAGAGACTTCTGGCAGATATATCTTCAGGCAATTACTCTCTCGAGTCATTGGAATTAACAGTTTATCAATCCACACGTGTATATGCTTTACATTATGTGACAAAAGTCACATAAATTGTTCAATGCGAGCTTCAAATGTTATGAGCTCATGAAGTGCCCTCTAGAGTATTTCTTCAGCTACTATCTCATGTATCATCCAGTATTCTTCATCTAAGTACTCCTTGCCTTTCTTCTCTGAGTGGAGAAAGATCCCTCTGTCATTAGTATTACTTCTACGGCCAATGGTTTCAACTTGCATATCTTACATTAATACTATGAGTTTTCCTCTTAACCCCTATCTAACCAAGTGACATACGATTTCTCAATCCAGGTGACATAAGATTACTTAGGGATCTCAAGGAGGAAAAGAAAAGAAAGTAACAATTTGGTAGCTGTGTAGACGTATCATCCCATCTCACATAGAATTTAGAGAACACCATGAAATTTACACATTCAGAGAATAAAATTAGATATTGTGGAACTAAATGTGGAAATAGGGTTAGGGATTTTGTCCAGTGCAGTTCTGTGATTTTTTTGGTATCACTAGCTTACCTATCAATTAACTCAGGGATGGAGAAAATTCAAGAAGGCATGGGGTACTTGCATGAGAAAAAATATTACATCTTCAGTTTTATTAACCTCAAACTGAAACTCAGTATTTCCTTCAATTAAAACGTAGCCCGCAAACCACAGTACCTGTGATGCCATTGCCAAGAGAAATCACTGATATTTTCATATCACATTACAGTTGTTGTAGTGAAATACCTTTTATGCTCACCACTCCTTCCAGCAGGTAGTTATTATACCTGCTGCTAGTTTGTATTATATAATGATACACTATCAACAAAGCATACATCCTAATTATTAAACATTTTATTAATGTATTTCAATAAAAGTGGTTTCCTTTGTCACCCTGCACACTTCGTTTTAAAAATGTCATTCTGAGAAGAGTTTATAGGCATCCCCTAGGATGCCAAAGAAGTCCATGGCACCAAAAAGGTTAAGAATCCCTGAAACTATACACAAAGCATTTAATAATGCAACAACCAGGTTTCTAGAATAAATCATCCCTTGCCAGCATCTTTTGAAGAAGAAACAGACTTGACCTTGAAATCAACAGTCTCATTACTCTAAATAGATGATTCTGATGAGAGCCATTTTTCTCTTATTTTGCCAAAGGAAAAGACCTGTAGATTCTACAGCCTCTCTGTTTTCATAGCATAGGTTTGTTTTTTTTTTAAATAATAAACTTTACCACTGACATTTTGCCATCAACACTGAATTACTTTCTCATATTTTATACTGCTGAAATCCAGTCTATTTTATAAGGGCATTGAATGTAATCATTTTATGACTTTAATTTAAAGAGTCACAGAGAGAGGACCAAGAAAATATCTGTTACCTGGAAAAACTATAATGATAATTCCATTCTTTCAGTAAAAGAAGCAAACATCAACGTGTACTCCATCAAAGATAGTGCTTTTAATTGACAGTGCTACTGATCCTATCAGTACTAACTGAAATGTTACAAATCAATTAACATATTTCTAGGGGTGTCAAGAATATAGCCTCTGGGTTATTATAATTTTGAGATCAATTAAACAATGAGATTATGTGTCAGTAGATGTGCCTTTAATGTAAGCACATTAGACTTTTGGAAAATCCTCCAAGAAAGCTCTGACCAAAAATAGACATGTCAAATGCTAGCAGGTTCAACAAACATTCACTCATTGAAAGCTATTGAGAAATTACTGATATTCCCACATGACTCACTTATCACTGCAACTAAATTCTGTTCCAAATGCTTACCTCCCAGAATAAAATAAATGCTATTTGAATTCTGAAACCAATAAAAAATTAAAAACAATATAGTCTTGGATTAAATTAAGACTTCTAAATACAATAAATCACATATATACCTAAACCCGTTTTTTTCCCCTACTCCTTAAAATACTGGCTATATTGCATGTAGAATGTGCTCTAAAATGTGCTGCCTTCTTCTGTTAAACCTATAAGACTTAGAAATCTGGTTGTAAACCTAGACTTTGATTAACTTCAGTACCAGAGGTTTTATTTGAATTACAAGCTACAAAACAACCCAACTTATGTGTCAAGAAAGCAAATCCACAATCACTAAAATTGAGAAGGAAATGAACTACAACAAGACAACTAAAACAATATGTAGTATATAGAGTTTTAGGAATAAAAGATAAAAATTCTTATTAATCACAGTTATCAAATTATTCAGCCAAGATCTGGAGCAAATGTTTAGTGTCTACTTACGTCTGTGTTTGAGTTAAAGTAGGACTTGTATCAATGATACATTTAGTTTTAGGGCTACTGTTTTTCTTCTTTAGGTAATTATTTCTATTTTTAAAAATAAAAACAGCTTATATGACTCCTTAGTAAAGACCATTCCATACCAGCCTCTTCACAACTGAATTTTCTGGGAAGGACACTGAAAATGTGCACTTTGCTCTAACAACCAAAAAGCATCTACAAGCACACATGGCGATGCTTCCACCCCATTTCCTTGGCATATTCCAGATTATTTTTCTCTAAACAGGAAGCTGTTGACAGTTTTTCTTGGTATTTTCAGAATACCAAAGGTCTTATTTACAAGAAACAAAATCCCAACTTTTGTTTCAATTATAATATCATTTCCCACTGTTCCTATTGTTGCTAATTACGAAGGCTGCAAACAAGATACAAACCAAATTCCAAACTATTTTAGGCTGACTCAGAATCGGGTAGCAATTATAAAAAAGAAAAGTTAGCAACATATTGCAAGGCTATGCTGGAGTTTTGAAACCCATAACAATACCAAAGGGAGGATTCCTGGAATTCAAGAGAGAGTACTTGGCTCAGTCTGCAAAATCCGTATCTCTAAATAATGTTATGTTAGCAAGTGTTGAGCAAGAAAGGCGATTACATTTTAACCTATTTCACAGAACACTAATCCGAATTTAACCAAATTCCAGAGACTCTGCACAAGATTCACAACTAGAAGCTACTTCACATTTTCCCCCTGGTACAACAATCATTGCTCATGAAGACAAACTTGTAGGAGGTAAGAGAGAGGCAAAAACCACAGTGAGCTATAAAAACACCTAACTAGAGTATATAAAGCAAACTCATTACCTCACACAGAAGAAGTGTAAGATTTAACAGTCCATGCTCTGCAGCCCCTGAGAAACAGCAGCAGCGGCAATGCCCAGCATCCACCAGATTCTCACAAGCCTTTGACTGTGTGGACTCAGCCACAGACTCTGCCTCTAGCTGACGTCAAAGTCCCTGTCACATGGCCAGATGAAAGCCAAGAGATCATTGGTTGTCGTAGCAACCACAGACCGGCTCTGAAATTATTTCAATAGGTCATCTGTCACTGTAGTATCTGTGTGTGTGTGTGTGTGTGTGTGTGTACACACGCAACACAACCATCACGGACAGCTCCCCGACAACCTCAATCCCCGAAGCTGTGACTCAGGCATGCCTACCACTTTCCTCTTCAAGGCTTCTGTGTCTTTCCTTACAGTCACTTGTGGGGAAAATGCATGCTACTCTGAAGTTTCTTCTGATCTTGCTACCACCAGCATGTATCTCTTTGCAGAACAAAAGGAAAGAGATCGAAATATTCTGGAGGTAGTTTTCGTAGTGATATAAACATATTTGTAAGAAAATAAATAAAAACAGAAGCTCAAGGGGAGTTGGTAAAAAAAAAAATGCTTTAAAAACTGTAAGAAGCCACATCCACGTACTGACACCAGGCTAACGATGGAAAGAAAAATACAAAACACAGTGGGTGGTGGCTTGGAGACAGATGAAAGAAGCTAATACTTCTGACACCGAGTAGGGTGTTGACATCAGATAAGACGAATTGAGGATTCCTGCACTATAAAATGTCTATACAATGATGATGACCAAAAGATTCAAGACAGCACTAACTTTAATGCTACCTTGTGGGTAAGCTAAGAACTTGGCTTTGGGATCATACAGAAGCCAAATCCTCCCCTCTCAAATCCTTTCATCCATACCCTTTGACTGGGGCTAAACATGATTTCTACAGAACTAGTGTGCCACAAACACAAAATCCAATGAAAGCCAAGAGCTGCAGAATAGAAGGGTAATTGCATGTGTTTTCTAATGGCAGCTTCATTTCCTTCAGGAATAGCCTCGCTTACTTTTAACTCTGCACACGTGCTTATTTCCCAGTTAATTCTCCTTCTTAATTAACGGGAAGCCAATTAGATGAAATGAGATGAAACCCACAGGCAGGTATTCTGAAAAAGACATTCAGAAAATGTATGCCCATTCAAAGGACAAAGGAGTTAAAAGGCAGGGGAGGAGAGACTGCCCTCAAAGACCCAAGGACCCTTGCATGCTAGGATTATCAGGAATTCTATTCCTAGAATCTTAAAAAAAAAAAACGGGTAGCTCTGGGCTGCTACAAAATATAAATGGAAGCTAAGCCAGCTGGGTAGAAGACATTTGTGTCGCTGTAAAAGAATGAAATTTCTTCAGTAGAGTCAGAAATTGCTTCTTTAATAATAAAACTCAGGTCCAAATGATTTGGCCATAGAATCTTCCTAATCCATTTTCCTCCTCATCTTCCTTTACTTCTGTCCTAGTCCCAGTTGGGAGAAAAGATGGATTTTTATTTGAAAAGTTGCATTCCTGATGCTACTAGCTATAGCACTGCAAAAGGAAAATAAAACTATAGAGAATTTTCCCCCTTTAATTTTAGATTAATGACAACTGACAATTTACCTATTTGAATAATAACAAGCGAATCCAATGTGTATCGAAATGGATCAGGATGCCTCACAAGGGTGAGAGTTCAGCAACAGCTACAGTTCACAGATTTGCAGTTTGTCCCAATTACAGTTTTGGTTTTCTGTTCCGAAATGCACATCATAGTAATGAGGGAATAGTAAGAGGCAGAGAAACACACTCTCTGGATGTCCAGGGCCCCACATTCTCTGAGCTATTTGATTTATCATCTTTCTGGCTCAAACCCGCGGCTGTCCCATCAACTCTTTCTCCTCTTTATGCAGCTCGAGTGTCTAAGAGAATAAAACTGCAGTGCCATGCTCTGCCAACAGGTGATGTCCTCTGAAACAAGTTCTCAGTTCTAAAAATCCCTCAAATTCAGGACTTTATCGATTGTTTTAAAATCCAGCAAAAACAAACAAATTTTCATTTTGACTCTTCTAGTATTTTTAAGATTGAATATACTTCATACTGATGTGGGCTTAAACTCATTATAAGTTAAAATAACCAGTGGGCTGAGCTTCAAAATGAAAAGAGAGTTTCTCTGAAAGAATTCCTTGGAGATTCCTCTTAAAGCTAAAGGAGCTAGCCACCAGTGTTCTGCTGAAAACATGATGCTGATTTTTTTGGAGCTCAGGTTTCCACCGATTTGGTTAATTAATCCAAGCATAGTTGAAAGTATCAGAGGAAATACACAGGAGAGCCTTCTCCAATCCCAGTCTACCACAGTGACGGGACTAGATGTCATTTTATTTTCTAATTGGCAAGTCATTTTTAAGGTAAAAATGATTCACCAAATTTAAAAATATACATTCAAAAATAATTCCGCACCATATTTTTCACCTGCTGTAAGAGTGTCAAGGTGCCTATTATTAGTTCGACCACTTTGGCAGAAATAACTGGTAAATACTACTAAACAAGCAGTCTGACTTGGGTTCACACACCTGAGCTAACAGGTGGTTTGGGCCATGAGTAGACAATTCTGACTAATTTTTTTTGTTTGTTTTTTCTCAATGTTTTTAGGTAGAAATGCAATCTCCTCAGCCTTAACATTAGTGAGCAAGCCACTAACCTATTGTTTTCAGCGATTGGGTTCAAATTACATCTCTTTTATAGTGGGACCTTGAGCAAGTAACTTAAGTCCTCTGAACCACAGTGCCTACACCCTAAGGTTGTTGGGAGGATTATAAAACTAATGTATTATGAAGTTCTGACACCCTGCCATAGGGTAGATAGCTCAATGTGTGTATGTCATTTCTTGTTTAACGGTCTGATTTTGATAAGTCTACAAAAACCTTCAGGGAAAGGACAGAATCTTGTTCATCTTGTTCATCTCTATGACACTATGGTCAACACATGGCCCAGAACATAATGGGTGCTCAGTAAATGTTGAATGACTCAACTGTTAGTAAATAAAAGCTGAACAACAGAAAGAAATGGTTCATTTTTCTTCCTAGTAACAGGAGAGATAGAGACTCCTTAAACCCAACTCCAAAAAAGGCAAAAGAAGAAAAAAGAAAAAACAAAAAATGTGATCACAAAATTTTCTAGCAATGGATAGATTCGAGTAAATTTACCAAGTAAATCAAGTTTATCCCTACCAACTTATAAATTTATTTATTTATTTATTTAGTATGAGTATATATAAATGACATGTTGATGTAGCTTATGGCTATTGCTGTTGATGTTGGAAAATCTCTTACGTTAACGACATAATCAAGTACCTATTATATGTAGAACACTATTCTAAGTGCTGTACATGTATTACACATTTACTGTAATAAGCTCTGAGGGATGTACTATTCTTTTCCACATTACACAACTGAAGAAAATGAAATATAGATGAAGTAATTTGCCTACCTTGTACATGGCAGAGCCAGGATTTATACCCATGAGGCTTAGCTCCACTAATTTTCTAAAATAATTTACATCTGATGTATTTTTTGAAAAATATTGAATCATTTCAAGTTTGCTTTACAGTTTAGAGGGTTTTTAAAAAATTTCTTGTGAAGGGGAGAAAGTCAGTTTATCTTTTCTGTATCTTGGAACTCTAAAGACCATAATCTAGCTTTGGCCTACGGAGCAAAATGGCAAGATGAAAGTCTAATCAGAAAAATATGAATCAAGGATAATGGGAAAATAAAGTACAGAATGAATGTAAGGTTATAAAAAAAAAACTATGCTCACATTATAACCTTAACTGAAGCATTGATTGATTGTTTGATTGATTGATTGATTGATTGAGCTGGGGTCTTATTCTACCACCCAGGCTAGAGTGTAATGGCATGATCTCAGCTAACCACAGCCTCTACCTCCTGGATTCAAGTGATCCTCTGCCTCAGCATCCTAAATACCTGAGATTACATTTGCACCCATCACATTCAGCTAATTTTTTTGATTATCTGTAGAGATGAGGTCTCACTATGTTGCCCAGGCTGGTCTTGAAACTTCTGTGCTCAAGCAATCCTTCTGCCTCAGTCTCCAAAAGTGCTGGAATTACAGGCATGAGCCACCATGCCCAGCCTGAAGCAAATATTTAGGTTTCACAGGCTTACATGAGTTCTGTTTCACACTATAATAAATAAAGTAGCATATATTCAAACCAAAACTCTGAGTGAGATAACAATAATACCTTGATGTTTAAAAAATTGTTGAAAGATAGCAAAGGCAGCAATAATTTTAAGTGTCAAGATCTCAGGTAAAAGGAAAACATATTGAGTGTCTAATTCCATTTGGGCTGCTGCAACAAAATAGCATTGACAGGGTAGTTTATAAATAACAGAATTGTATCTCTCACAGTTCTGGCGGATGGGAAGTCCAAGATTAAGGCTCTCGTAGATCTGGTGTCTGATGAGAGCCCATTTCCTGGTTCATAGATGGCTCTTTCTATCTGTGTTCTCACATGGTGGAAGAACAAAGGCAGCTGTTTGGGGTCTCTTTTATCAGGGTATTTATCTCATTCATGAAGGCACTACCCTCATGACCTAATCATTTCCCAAAAGGCCCCACCTCCTAATACCATCACTTCAGGGGTTAGGATTTCAACATATGAATTTTGAGAAGACACAAACATTTAGTCCATAGCACTGAGGTAATTCTGTCATTTTTTTGCATTATCTACAGCTTTTCTCCTTAAAGTATTAGATGATTCTTAAATGGTGTGGGGCTTTCAACATTCTCAGAGACTAAAGAAATAAAAATTGGAATACAAATCTTTAAAAGCATGCAGACATGAAGGAAGTGAGATTCTGTTTTTTGCTTTCTGTTTTTTATTTATTTTATTTTATTTATTTATTTATTTTGAGTTGGAGTCTCACTCTGTCGCCGAGACTGGAGTGCAGTGGCCGCTCCCGGCCACGGCAGCCTCGACCTGCCGGGCTCCGGCGATCCTTCTGCCTCAGCCTTCCAAGTAGCTGGAACTACAGGCGCGTGCTACCATGCCTGGCTAATTTTTTTGATTTGTTGTAGAGATGAGGTCTCGCCTGCCCAGGCGGGTCTCGAACCCACGGGCTCAGGCAATCCACTCACCTCAGCCTCCCAAAGGTGCGGGGTTACAGGCTAAGCCACCGAGCCCGGAGCTTTCTGTTTTTTAAAAAAAGGAATCACAGGGAGGAGATGCTAACATTTTGTACTGTTTTCCCCTTAAAGTATTTACCAATTTCTAAGCAGCATAACACAAAAGAACAAGAACAGCATAAAAATGCAGCAAAGAGG